CGACCTTGCCTGATGGTGACCTGGACACGGCCCTGCCAGAGCCAAGGACAGGAAGCTCCCACAGAGGCTGTGGCTGGATTCAAGTAATCCAGGATAGGCTGTTTCCGTCTGTGAGGCCTATTCTTGATTACTTGTTTCTGGAGGCAGCTGATGGTTCGCCACCTGAAACCGAGATGGCTTCTGGGACGCGGCGCATGCGTTTCTTCCTTAGCCGGGTCACGGGTGGGCCGCCAGGCCCGCAGAAGCCCCGTGAGGAGGGGATAGCAGAGTCCCGGTGTGGGGGGCAGAAGGTCCCCAGGGTGTAGGGGCCCGGCAGAGTAAGGCGCGACCCCGCTGACCCTGCTGTGTGGAGGTGGGGACAGTGACCCCTGCTGCGTGCGTCCCCCTCACGGAGATGCCTCCAACAGGACTCTCTGCTTTGCCTCAGGTGTATGTGCTCAAGAGGCCTTACGTGGATGAGTTCCTGAGACGAATGGGGGAACTCTTTGAATGTGTGCTCTTCACTGCCAGCCTGGCCAAGGTACCTGCGGGCGGGAGGGGGGTAAGGAAGCAAGAGCGATGGCGGGGGCTGGGGGGCCCAGCAGCTCCTTGCTGGTCTGCGGGCAGCCTGGGGGGGAGCCAGGACTGCCTCGGGACAAAAGCATCTTCTCTGCTCCTAGTACGCTGACCCGGTGACGGATCTGCTGGACAGGTGTGGCGTGTTCCGGGCCCGCCTGTTCCGGGAGTCCTGCGTGTTCCACCAGGGCTGCTATGTCAAGGACCTCAGCCGCCTGGGAAGGGACCTGAGGAAAACCCTCATTCTGGACAACTCGCCCGCCTCTTACATCTTCCACCCGGAGAATGCGGTGAGGGGTCCAGACACACCCACCCTGCAGGGCCTGGGGAGCCCCTACCCCACGGGGGGCAGAGGGGAGTGGGCCGTGGAAGCGCGGGCTTCTCCGGAAGAGCGTACCACCCAGCTGCCCCCCGCCAGCCTCCTGGGGCTCTGGCGCAAGGGAGGGAAGAACTGGCAGGAGATTGACGCTGCCTTTTCCCCGTCCCAGGTGCCCGTGCAGTCTTGGTTTGACGACATGGCAGACACTGAGCTGCTGAACCTGATCCCGATCTTTGAGGAGCTGAGCGGAGCAGAGGATGTCTACACCAGCCTTGGGCAGCTGCGGGCCCCTTAGCCTTCCCTGCTTCCGAGCAATGGCCCTCCCACTAGGGGACTTTCTACACTGTGCCTTTATGATCAGCCTGATGGAGCAGAAGCTGGAGCATCTCACCAAATGGGGCCTGGAAGAGAAGTGCTTGGAAAGGGCTTTAGGACAGGATAGGTGCGAAGTGGGCACATATCAGACCAACGACACCCAGAGCTGCCTGCTCCCTGAGTTGGGTTCCCAAATGTGAGTGTGTGTGTGTCTGTCTGTGTCTGTGTGTCTCGCCCTGAACTGTGGCCCCGGGATGTAAGTGTTCAGGTGGAGGGAGAAACTGAGAGATCGAGACTCCCCAAGTTAGTCTGCCTCCTCACCAGTCACCCTGAGAACACCCTAGCCGGTAGGGATGGAAGCTGTCGAAGGCTCTGTTGCCAAACCCGTGGCCTTTCCTCGGTGTTACGAGGCTCATGCCAAGGAGAAAGGGCCGATCAGAGGCTGCCTTCAGGTGTCCCAGGCACACCCCTTTCTGAACCCTTTCTCCAGCCAGCTACTGCAGACCGAACGACATTTCTGGAAAGATGAGAGCTTGTTTCCAGAACCAGCAGCCCCAGCGGCCATCACGTCCTGTGGTCTGAGGGCTGCCCTTGCCTCCAGTGCCTGGCGTGGGCCCCGTCTGTGTCTCCCCACGGCCTGGGCGCCGGGCCTGCCTTCCTCACCACCTAGCCATAGTCTTGAACCTGGGGGGGAAGGAGGTCTTCTCCCTGCCCTGGAAGAGGACACATAACATTTCCGTTCTTTGGACTCTGTTTTAAAATTCTCTTTCTAAACACGGAGTGTTGGGCCTGTTCTGTTTCTGACAAAGCTGCAGTCCCGGGCCTGGGATGAATGTGGGAGGCCCTGGTGGTGCAGGGAGGAGGAAAACCCCCAAACCATGAGTGTGTGTGTCCCCTGGGCTTGTAGGTGAGCTGAGCATGGGACTGGGTCCCTAAGTCTGCTCTTCAGGGATTCTCTGCTGGTGCTGGTGCGAGCACTTCTGTTCCAAAGTCCAGGAAGGGCGCTCCGAGCCCGGCCCCTCCTGTTTCTTGGGCAGGGCTCATTCCTGTTGTCTCCCCCAGGGCCTGGCCTGTGCCTCTCACGCCCTGCTCGCGTCTGGTCCTCCCGCAATGTTGCTTTTCTGCTCCAGGGCCTCAGAGGCGCTCCTGCTTTTCCTGGGCTCAGGGCAATGGGCGTCCTCATCCTCTCCTTTGCCACCCTAATGCACATGCGTCCTGCCTCCCGGAGCGGGTGTGAGCGAGCCCTTTCCACACCTGCGCTTTGCGTGTCTCTCACTTTCAAAGTTTCGTAGTGAATGCTTTCAAAAATTGCCACAAGATGGAAGTTTCCTGAGGATGGAAAAGGGGAAGTGCTGCTGTAATTGGGAGCACGAGGGCCCCCCAAAAGGGAGCCCCGCCCCAGCATCACTGCCTTAATCATGGCCTCCCCTGGGGCTGGCTGGGGTTCTCTCCTCTTCTCCCTCTCTCCCTCCCTCCCTCTCTCCTTCTGGGGCGGGAGGCAGTTCCTCTCCCCATCTCTGCTTTCCCTGGAGGCAGGGGTCACAAAGGATTTGTGAGTCTCTTCAGGTGTGAGGACACCCCCCCACACACACACTCAGGACTCATCCCTATTATCCTTTCCAATGTCCACACAGTGGTCCAGCCCAAGGAATTGGCAGGTGGTGGAGCGGCATTGTGGTGTTCTGAGAGGTAGTGGGCTGACTGGCATCTTTCTCTAGCTTGTGGTACCACCTCCCCTCCTTGTCCCAAGGTTGTATGGCCTTGTCTTTCCCATTGGTGTCACAGAAGTGGAACAGAGTCCCCGAAGCACGTGTGGTCATTTCCCCCAGTATCATTCCCTGGTGCCCCTGGGGTCCTACAGGTAAGGGAAGAGGGCTCCGGTGCTAGCCAGGAATGGTACCTCCGTACCTCGGAGGGGAAATGGGAGCTTCTGATTCTAAGGCCCTGTCTAGGCCTCTAGCCTGATAACCTTGGAAGGGGCCTGTCTCCCTAGCCCCACCCTAAGGGTTAGCCTCTGGGCCAAATCTGCCACCTGGGCCCAGCCAAGCTTTTCTGACTAAATAAGCAATAAGAGGCGCTAAGCTGATCCAGTTCTAGGACCCTTTCTGCCCTCTGGGTCTCCCGTGTTTTTCCCGGTGAAGGAAGAGCCTGTGCCACCCCCTTTCCTGTCAGGCTCCTCCAAATGCTCCCAGTGTGACTCGTGACCAGGGCCCGGGATATCTCGGTGGGGGGTGTCCCTGCTGCTTCTGCGTGAAACCCCTGCTCTCTAGGCCTTGTTCCCGGCAGAACCCTGCCCTGCCAACCCGCAGGTCCTCAGCAGGAATATCCTATTCCCTCTTTCCCCCTTCTCCCGCCTTGGGTGGAGAAGGAACTCGGCCAAATAAACCTAAACAGGGTCCATCCATGTGGACCAGAGCCAGCCTGAAGTCATTATTTGCTGTCTGGTTTCCAGTTTCACAGTGTGTTAGGGGCGAGTGATGATTGCCAAACTTGCTCCTCAGAGGAATCCGGCCAGACTCCCGTTTTGGAGGAGGGCAAGCTTGGGAGGGAAGCAGTTTAGCCCAGGATCTGTTCTGGGGCTTCCCATCAGCCCTTCCCGTGGGAGGCTGTCCTGAGGAGGCAGTAGGCCACTGTGCCTGGTCAGCCCCAACTCAAGCCATGCCCAGAATCTGCCCGCCGGCCAGCTTCAGTTCTTCAAGGTGCCTCTTCGGGGACACAGTGTGTCTCTCTGATTGGGCTTCTAAATCAAAAGCCTGATGTTCGTGTCCCTCTCATAGGGGGAGCTTGGGACACAGGACCAGTCTGGAAACGGTCAAGGGGAGAGTTTCCACTCTGCACATTGTAGAGGGGACGCTCTGTTAGGCCCGTGGGTCCTTGACTGTAGAGAGGTTGAGTAAATTTGCCTTCAGTTAACCCGGGACCTTCTGTTTAGTTCCCCCCTGCCTCCCAAAGATTTTGACCATTTTGTAAGTATATAAACTCACCTCTGTGAACAGTGGCCCAGAAGCATCTTTATGCTAAAAGCATGGGAAGTCTATAAGGGCAGTCATTCCCTGGGAGATGGGTCCCATTCAGATCTGCTGCCCCTGCCCTATTCCTGAGGCCTCATTCAGGACAGCAGCCCCCACGTAAGGCTGGCCTGAACCCCATGTCCCAGTCAGGCCGAGTGTCTGGAAGGTAAGCCCCCTTTCACCTTCAGGTCTTCAGTTGGTTACCGTTGTTGTTCCTCGGTTACTTTCTGTAAAATGGGGTTTTGTCTTTTTTTTTTTTTTCCTTTTTTAAATGCCAATAAGTATTTGCATTCAAGCAGAGGAGGGAAGGCAGGGGTGTGACCCGCTGTCCCTTGCCCTGCTGTAGGGCTTGCCCTCGGAGCAGACCCTCCTCTTTGGGCCCCATGAGCTTTGCTTATAGTTATTCCAAGTTTGACACATTCCACGTCCTGCCACTTTACCCCTCAAGATGCCATTTGGAGGGCAGGGGATCTGCTTCCCACTGTGACTGGGCTATGGGACTCTGACGACCTTGCTTCCAGATTCATGGTTTGATAAATTTGTTGTATTCAAAAACTTGAAATGTAGGACGCCATTAAGTGTCTGTTTATATTTTTGGAATATTTGTATTACTTACAATTAATTAATAAAAGCGGGTTTAAAAAACCCATCCAGAAATGGGAGCGGCTTCCTGACCCTGCTGTCATTCATGTGGGCAGTCACCGGGCACACTCTGCCTCCCTTGCCACCCCTCGGGGCACCCAGGCTGGGCAAGCCGCTGCCTCCGGCCGGGAGACCAGCTGCACACTCAGCACCGACTGGGCTTCTGCTCAAGGTTACAGAAGTTGGCCTCTTTTCTGGCCCCCATTTGGAACCAACTCCACTGCCATCCAGGTGCTTAATAAGCATACACTTGTGTCCTATTGACTTCTGGGGGACAAACCAGAAACCCCGAGGGACTGGGAGTCTTCGTTCTTCTGTGTCCCTTACCGATTCTCCCAAACCAGGATCCCCGGGAGAGCCCAGCAGGGTTCTTGGCACATAGTAGGCACTCAGATTTTGATTGGACTGCTGTAGGGACCCCAAGGGAAACCCTACGGAGCAAAACAGCAAAACAGGATGACCAAAGATAACACACTCCTGGCCCCTCTCCTGGACTTCCCTCCCTCTGAAAAATGCCCAGAAGCTTCTCAGGGAGGCATTGCCAGCTTAGACATCCCAGGCACTCTGGGGCAGCTCTGGCCCCTGCCTCTTGTCATCATCAGCATAATGCATCCATATCTACAATATGGCAAATTTCATATCCTCCCACCCTCTTTGCTGCATTATTGATGGGCTGTGCACTTTTAAAAAAAATCAATTGGATCAGGGTGTGGAGCTGGAGTCAAAAGAGAAAAGCCTTTAAAAGTCCGTTCTTCTTGTTTCTGCTGTTTTGAATAGGAGCAGATAAAGCTTCCCCTCTGGTTTGAATAAGTCAAGCCCAGGGCTAGGTTGGCTGTGATTGGCCGGGACTGGGAAAATGAGGTTAAGACGCAAACACAAGCAAATATAACGCAGTGTCTGCGGCCATTACTAAGCTAAGGCAGCAGGACCTGGCGCCTCCCTCCTTGGGGTGGTTTTCTGACACGGCTGCTCCTTGCCCCGGGACTCGGAAGACGCGGCGGGAGAGAAGGCACGGTAAGGTCTGCTCGGTGGATGGGTGCACGCCAGTAGAGCAATCCTGCTGAACAAGGAGGAAGTGAGGGGAAGAGGACACTGAAGTTTCTGTGCCTTTGTTTTCTTGGATGGGGCTTTTAAAGGATTAAACCAGGAGTTTGTACCAGTTTTGCAAACTTCTTGCTGAGCAGTTAAGGCCCTTTTTAGAAAGCACTGAACGGAAAGCAAAGGTCTCAAGCGCTGGGAAATAAGGAGACTGCCCCATTCACCTAGCTCAGAAAGGTGGTGTGGGGCAAGGCAGAAGTTAGAACTGGCTTCCTCCACCTGGGGTCCATTCACAGAGCTCTGTAAGAATTGAGGGCCGCTGGCTTTTAGCCTGGGATTTCAAAACCCCGCCCCACCCCAAGGGTTTCTGCAATGCCGAATTAATAAATAAGGACTTGGGGAAGAGGGAGGAAGAAACTCAGCTTCGGGGGACTTCGATGTCACGAATGCAATCACATTTTCCGGCTGTTCCAGTGTGGCAGGAAGTGCCTTCTTTGAGCATGTCCTCTCCTTGGTTGGGGAGCCTTGGCCCAGTGAGCTCCTTCCCTTTTGATCCTTAAGTCCCTGCTGGGAAATGGGACTGCTTTTGGCCTCTGAGAGTCACAGCCCTCATTAATGCCAGCTGGTTTGGTTTTTCCCAGGTTGAAACCTCTCGGTTTTCAAGAAATGAATTCGTTGGCCCTTGTCCCCTTCCCCTAGTTGGGTCACGGCAGTTGCCTTTAATGAATGAAATCGAGGGTCTGAGAAAATCCTGAACAAATACTTCCTGGCAGTTCTGAGCAGCACCGGGGAGGGGAGGGTGGGGCAGCACGAGTTAGCAAATTAAATCCTCAAACATTGGCTGCTCCGCCTTAGTCTTGCTGTAGCAGAACACAAAGGGAGTCTGGTATTCTGTGTTTTGCCAAAGCCCATGCTAGATAATGGCACAAACTCTTCAAACCTGGCTTCATCCACCGAGGCTCAAGGATGGAATGGCCAAACACGTGCAGTACGCCTCCGGATAGCACAACTCCACGCGGCCCTTTCTGGGTGGGTCGTGTTTTTGTTTTTTGTTTTGGTTTTTTACTTTATGTAAATCCATCAAGCACATCTTTTTTCCTTCGCCTCTTGAGAGCATGCATCAGTTATAGGTATTACGGGAACGCAAGCTCCTTGAGAGCAAGAACCAGGCAGGCACTTTGATGCTACAAAGCCGCTAGGGGAGCAGGGATGAGTGCTTGATGCTCCTAGACACGCCTTGAGCACAGATGGTGCCCGATCCACCCGCACTTGTCTTCCCCGCTTCCTCCTCCTCCCCACCCTGCCTTGTGGGCGGCCACCACCGACTCCGGCAGGTCTGTGTGGGAGGGGACACGGGTGGCCTCTGCCCCCAGGCGGGCCCGGCCACCCAGCCTGTTGCTGCCAGCACCCCAACTCGGTCCCACACCCTGCTCGGCCATGTTGCTTTCCCTCTTCCGCGAGGCACAGGGAATATTATTAGTCAGAGGACAAAAACAAGATGGGGTGTTTGAGTTTTAGGACAGTTTACTTAAAAGGGAAAAGTCTGGAAAGTAAAGCCCAAAGAGGAAGCCAAAGAGTTGACCGCACAGCGGACCTGGCAAGCGAGGACCCTGGGAAGAGCTGGACGGGGTGAATGAGAGAAGGCAGCCGAACCTGGAAATACTGATACAAGCCTTTCTTCCCGTGTGCCACTGAAGGCAGATAAGTTTAGGAAGGGTTACACGACATCAGAGTGACTAAAAGCACAGGTTTTAGGGCCAGATATGAATTTCACTCTAGCGTGTGACATCAGGCAAATTATTTAACCTCTCCAAACCTCAACTCACCTACGATGTAAGATGAAAATAGACTCAGTTTGTAAGAATTAAATGACAACATAAAGTGAACCCGCTCAGGGCTTACCATATTTATCAGGCCTTCAGTAGATAACCGTGGCTATTACCAGGGGAGTGGCAAGGGGGAAGGCGACCTTCTTTCTGGGTGAGCCCCCCTCCCCCAGGCCAGCCAGGCTTACAGTGGGAACTTGGAGAAGCCATTTCCCACATCGCCATGAAACAGTGCAGGGTGCCTCACAGACACATGGCAGGGTGGCTGACAAGATGCTAGGAAATGACTTAGGGGAAAAGCTGGAGGACTGCCTGCCGCGAGAGGCATCATCCGCCCCGCTCACTCTGTGATGTTGCAGTCCTGGGAAGACAAGCGCCATGTCTCTGAGCAGCGCCTTCAGGGCTGTGGGCAACGACCCTGGGATCATCACCTGGAGAATAGAGGTGAGCTGGGCTGGAGGCGCACCTTCCTCCTCACACGGCATCTGGGGGCGGTCTCTGGTCATCCCGGGTTCCTGCAGTCTCCTGCCTTGGGAAATAGCGAGAGACAGCATCGGAGTCACCTTTTCCTATCCTTGACCCCTCCTGGGTGCTCGCGGGTGGAGGAAATGCTTTTAGCTCTGGAGAGCCGGGCTCCAAGCAAAACTAAGCTTGCCCTTTATCCTGCCATCTGCTCAGTGAGTTTGCACTTGCAGTAAATGCCCTAGAGAAAGACCGAAGGCTCCTGTCAGAAAAACTGGAACCTGTCTTTCACAGGGCACGCTGGCTCCTGCCAAGTGGTAGGGGAGGTGGGGTTACTGCGTAGATCAGGGGGCCGCTCATCCCTTCTCCCACCTGGGCTTGAGCCCCTCCAGCTGACCTCGAGCTCCAGCAGTCTAGCTGGGAACAGCCCTGGCCTGGGCAGCTCCACCTGCCAGATGTAAGAACCCCGCTCCCCGCACCTCTCCTCCCTGCTCTGAGCCCAGGGAGGGGCGGCTGCCTAAAACCCAGAGCCCTTAAATCTTCCTGATTATTTCAAAGTAGGTACTAAAAGTTACCAAAAGTATGGTATATTTAACATCTTTACATTTAACACACACATCTTACATAGAATATACACAAGTATGACTGCAGGTGCCTGTCACTTAGAGAGAGTGAGGAAAAATCCCTATCTGAGGCCATGTGAATGGCTCTCCTGGGACAAGCCATATGCACAGGGGACACATCAAGCCCCCCCCCCCCATCCAATACGGAGCGCTGGCCGTGGAGCCCCGCCCACGCACCGCCGGCACTCGCCTCTCACAGCCCCACGGCACCCCCACGCTCTGTTTGCAGCCCTTGCCCAGCACTGGGCGGTCAGGGTTGGAGGACGTTGTCAGAGGCACAGGTGCAGCTGCTCAGAGGTAGGATTTGACCCGACCGCTGATATCCAGCTCTTTTCCCTGCAAAGGGCTAGAGGAGCTCACAAGGCTCCTCCCGTATAGTGAGACCAAGCAGGTGGTAGGGAGGGGGGTGGGGTAAAGACAGGGACCCAGATTCAGCCCTGGGGCCATGCAGGCAGAGCTCGGCAGAAGCTAGAGGGGTGGGCCCACTAATCCTGTGGCTAGCCACCATGCCCTATAGAATCAGCAGGGACGTCTTCCCTACCTCTCCCCGGCCACCTGTGCCAAATGATGGAGGACAGGGAGGCTGGGGAGTGGGGGCTGGGATGCAGACTATACACAGCCCTTGTCCTTCCAGAAACTGGAGCTGGCACTGGTTCCCCTGAGTGCCCATGGCAACTTCTATGAGGGGGACTGCTACGTCATCCTCTCGGTGAGCACCATCACCCCCAAACCCCCCCACCCCTGCCGGTTCCCATGAGCTTCTCCCTTGAGAGCCGTTCTTGGGTTCCACCGAGATCTGCTGCTGATGCTAATCAGGTTCCTGGTATCTGTCTTGATTCTTCTTCAGTGTTGTACAGAACAGGCCTCCAGTTTGACTAGAAAGGCCATTCTTAGGGGATGGGGCCCTCAGTCTGAACCTCAGCAAGGACCCCGCAAGCAGCACCTCTCCCTCCTGGGGCCCAGCCCCCACATTAGAGTGGTATGGAGGCAGGCCAGGTAGATACAAGGCCATGCCTCAAAGTGCCCATTCTGGTTGAGGGAACAATATCGCACATGAACGATGCCGACCGAGCCAGGCAGATGGACAGATTGGCACCGTGTCAGCCGCAGGAGAGCAGGGAGCGAAGGGGCACAAGGTCAGTCTGTATCTCAACTTGGAAAAGATCCTCACGGGTCTCCATGTAGTTGGAGAACAGTAAGCTGTCAACTCTCCCCAAATGCGGGAGGATTCTGGGCTGCCAGAGCTTGAGCCACATAGCAGGTGTGCCAGGGGCCCCGGAGGGAGGGGGAGAGGCCCGCAGCCTGCCTAGGGCGGCCACGAGCCACCATACGCCCGGGGGGCCAGCAGCAGAGCGGGATGGAGGTGAGCTGGCCCCTGACCTGATCTCTCCGGACATCCCAGACACGGAGAGTGGGCAGCCTCCTCTCCCAGGACATCCACTTCTGGATTGGGAAGGACTCCTCCCAGGACGAGCAGACCTGCGCGGCCATCTACACCACACAGCTGGATGACTACCTGGGGGGCAGCCCCGTGCAGCACCGAGAGGTGCAGTACCACGAGTCTGACACCTTCCACGGCTACTTCAAGCAGGGCATCATGTGAGTAGTTCACCAGCGCGAGGACAGAAATGGCAGTTTACAAAAGAGGAAACCAAAAGGGCCAGTCGGTGTATGAAGAATCAGAGAAATGCAGATCAAATCAAAGCTATGGCTTCCACCCACCAGAGCAGGGCAGACCAGAGGGCCGGGCGGAGGCGAGCGGTGGCAAGACTGGGGGGGAAAGGGGAGGCCGTGTGGCTCGTCGGGGGCGGGGGGCGGTGGTCCGTGGCGGCTGGAGGACAGTGTGCTGTCACTGAGGCCAATCCCACTCCCGGGTGTATAAGTCAGGGGACCTCCCCCACACCCAGCTCCGCAAGGGCTCATGAGCCAGAAGGTTCACAGCAGTGTCAGGAGTGACGGTGTGAAGCCGTGGCCCCCCCGTAAGTGCCCGTCACAGGGAGACAGGACAAGAAGGAGTACACAGCGGAGGCCGTGGAGCAGATACCGGCTGAGCTGTGGACAGCCCTGAAATTAAAACATGGTCCTAGTGACCAGAGTAAGAGACGGACCTGAAATATATAACGGTGCCAATTTCTGTTTTAAAAAAAATACATGCCCACCAAACAACAGGACACATTTACCCGAATGAAAATAAAAAGGCAGCCATTCAACGGTCGGAAGGGATGCCTGTGGTGGGGAGAGGAGTGGGGGGACATATGCAGGGAAAAGGGAATGCATAAATACTGAAAACAGGAGAGGGGTCTTGGAAAGGACAGGGATGATAATGTTCCACGGACTGAGGAGTTTAACTCCAAACTTTGCCCTCGAGATTGAAAACAAAAAGAGGGATTCTGAGGAGCTCGAGAGACCTGAGGCTGGTCCAAGGCTAGCTTCTTGCCGGTTGGCAGTCGCACTGACTGAGGACCTGTTGGGCACAGCGCACCCCATGAGTCACCAGGGAGCCCACAGACAAACGTCCTACTCCAGGGTGGCTCTCTGCCCAGCCTGCAGGGTCAGGACGCCTGGGGTGGATGCGGGGTTGGGGGGAACTCCAGGGCCAGGAGAGCGGACTCCCCGAGCCGGTTGGTCTTAAGGCCATGGTGCCATGAATTCTTCGGCTGTGGCCACCCAGCCTGTGCCCCTCTCCTTGTCACATGCTGCAATTCACACAGCGGCTAGAACCAGCCAAGCTCGTGCTACGGGGTCCTCACCACGGAGCCACCCGCTGGAACACTAGTCGTATGCTGGTTGGCTCCTAGTCCTCCTCGTATGTCAGCTTGAATGTCACTCCTCCGGAGAAGACTGCCTGGACCACTCTGTCAAAAAGGCCTCACGGAGTCTTGTTCTGTCGCCACCGCCCCTGAGGGCAGAGGCCTCCCCAGTCCCTAGCACATAAATAACGGGGGGTTATCTGGATATCCCCTCAGCTACAAGAAGGGGGGCGTGGCCTCCGGGATGAAGCATGTGGAGACCAACACCTATGACGTGAAGCGGCTGTTACACGTGAAGGGGAAAAGAAACATCAGGGCCACCGAGGTAAGTCCTGCCCACTCTCTGTCCTGCGCCCAGAGCCTCCCCCGCTAGTACCTAAGAATTCCTCCTGAACGACGTCTACTTCTCATCTGCAGGTGGAGATGATCTGGGACAGTTTTAACCAAGGCGATGTCTTCTTGCTGGACCTTGGGAAGGTCATCATCCAATGGAATGCCCCAGAGAGCAACAGCGGAGAACGCCTGAAGGTGTGGTTCTTCCCAGTCTGAGCCCCTTCTCCTCTCCCTCAGGCCCGGTCATGGGGCTGTCACTCTCTAGGTTGCCTTTTCCATCTTCCTTCCTCACTGGCTCTTCTGTGAGATGCGGAGACAGACAGACCCCCGTGCTGGAGCAGAATCTGTTTCAGAGACAGGCCAAGTGCCTGAGTCTGTGACTCACCCCCAGGGTCTTAAGCCGCAGAATAACTCCTGTGTCTGGGACCCAGGTCACTGCCCCCGAAGCCAGCAAGCGCCAAGGGGGCCCAGCGGGACTGAGTGCTTCTTGGGGCTTCTTTGACAGGCTATGCTTCTGGCAAAGGATATTCGGGACAGGGAACGAGGGGGCCGTGCTGAAATAGGCGTGATCGAGGGAGACAAGGAGGCAGCAAGTCCAGAGCTGATGAAGGTCCTTCAGGACACCCTTGGCCGGCGCTCTATTATCAAGCCTGCCGTGCCCGATGAGATCATGGACCAGCAGCAGAAATCAAACATCATGTTGTATCAGTGAGTAACTAAACCTGGCTGCTGGTTGGAAGCTGGGGTAGTGGGTGCTTGGCTCCTCATTTTGGGTATAGGCATCTGGCTTTTTTTTTTTTAAGATTTTATTTATTTATTTGAGAGAGAGAGAGACAGAGAGAGCGCATGCACACAGAGAGAGAGGGAGGTGGCTGGATGCCAGGACACCCCCCCCACACACCCAGAACCTGACCCAGGGAGCTGAAAGCAGACTGAGCATAACCGACTGAGCCACCCAGGTGCCCCCAAGCATCTGGCTTTCTTTTAACCCTTTTCAAATGCAGCTTTCAGAAGGAACTCAGTGTTCCCCAGTCAAGGAGGCAGCTACCATCTGCTCTTGTCAGCAACTCTTCCTGGTCTCTTGAGGAGACTCTTCCTTTACTTGGCTCTATCTATGCCCAGGGATGTGGAGGAGATCATGTTCCGGAGAGAGATGCACCAAAGTCTCCTCTCGAGAACAGAGTCCATCACATTCCTGTCTGCATTCAAGCCACGCCTGTCATAAGAGGTCAAACTTGACCCAGAAACTCTACACTGAAACAAAACCAGCAAAATATCAAACTGACTACAAGATGCTTTGTAGAAGAGAAGGCACAAGCTAACTTCTCCCCTTTTCCAGTGTCTCGGACTCAGCTGGGCAGCTGGTGGTCACAGAGGTAGCGACAAGGCCCCTGGTCCAGGACTTACTGAACCATGATGTGAGTAGAGCTTGGGTAGGCGCGGCTTCTGTGGCCAGACCTGGCTTCATAGATCTTCCTTATGGTCCCGATTGGCAGTAACCACCTTTATCCCTGCCCGCTTCAGGACTGCTACATCTTAGACCAAAGTGGAACCAAGATCTACGTGTGGAAAGGAAGAAGAGCCACAAAGACTGAGAAACAGACGGCCATGTCTAAAGCCCTGGTAGGAACTACAGATGTACAGTATTGTCCACAAAATTCTGTCAGGACCACGTCAGATGTGTTCAGAGAACCAGACGAGGCACTTGGGCTTACGACAGCACTGTTACATGCACGGACTTCAGTCAGACAGACAACCTGGGGATAAATCCAGGTTTAAGAGACAACTCCTAGGGTTGTTCTGAGGCGTCAGTAACATTTGTAAGGCACTTAGGACAGTACCTGGTGCCTACACTTGCTCAGTAAACATGGCTGCTGTTATCGAAGGGGACATCACATCACGGTCAACGGCCCTGTCCTCAAGGGGCCTGTGACGTGGTCCGGACCCATGCAGATGAACCCAGCAAGATGCGCTTACGCAGCAGTAAATGAGCAAATGCTTGTGACACAAACTCAGTGGAGTACATGAGTGCGGCAGGAACACAGTATAGAGGATCTTGCAAAAAAAAATTAATGATCATGACAGGCCAATCCAGAGATATGAAAATGTTCCCACAGTCCTTTCCCTGAGGCAGGTAACTTGGTCCCTAGACATAAGTGAGTTAGCATTTGACTCCGACTCCCACAAGGGAGCAATCCTGCTGACTGGCTTCAAAGGGCAAGTCACCAGACAAGCAAAGAACCCAGTGCATTCCCTGACTGACGTGACTTTCGGGGGCGGGGGGGGCTGTCCGCAGAACTTCATCCAGATGAAGGGCTACCCCCGCAGCACCAACGTGGAGACCATCAACGACGGTGCTGAGTCGGCCATGTTCAAGCAGCTGTTCCAGAAGTGGGCAGTGAAGGACCAGACCGTGGGCCTGGGGAAAACGTTTGGTGTCGGCAAAATTGGTAAGGCTGCTCCCCAGCTCCCCTTCCCACTGCTGGGACTCTCTAGAAAGGCAGGAACAGATGCTCTTCACTCACTTGGCTTCTCCCAACCCCTTCTCTGCAGCTAAAGTTCTCCAGGATAAATTTGATGTGACTTTACTGCACACCAAGCCGGAGGTCGCTGCCCAGGAAAGAATGGTCGATGATGGCAATGGGGAAGTTGAGGTAAGTCAGTGATTGGCATCTCAGGGCAGGCAGCACCGGCCCTCCTAGCTGTTTTGCTGGAGAGGAGGGAGAGGGTGACTCTGGTCTGCTTTGCTTTCGTTTTCATCTCTGGGACCTCAGGAGTCGGCTCTCAGAGGTGACCGGAGTCTGCAACGCTGTCCCACATCCCCTCAGGGAAGTGAAAAGCCACTACCCCCATGTGCTATCAATAACTCAGGGGGCGGAAATAGTCAAATCATCTCAGAGCCATGATGGGGATGCACCGGAACAGGAATGATCTGGTTCTTCTCGGGATTCAAATCACGCAAATGTGACAAGCCCTCACAACTGGGAAAGAAGAACCAGAGAGGGAAGGTGTCCTTTGGGTGGATGTTCATGCCTCACCCGCCTGGATTCTCCGCGAAGCATGGCCCAGTTCCCTTCAGGCAGCCATCTTTCCAAATAGGAGCCCCATCTCTGGGAACTTGTGTCTCCTTCTGTGTCCAGATCTGGAGGATTGAAAACCTGGAGCTGGTCCCCGTGGAGCATCAGTGGTACGGCTTCTTCTATGGGGGAGACTGCTATCTGGTTCTCTACACATACGAGGTGAATGGGAAGCCACGCTACATCTTGTATATCTGGCAGGTAGGCCTGACGCAGGCTCCTCCTTGGGATCCTGACGCTACCTCTGGCCACTGGGCGGGGGCAAGGGGTAGCAAGGACCCATTGCTCGCCCTCTCACCCCTGCAGGGCCGCCACGCCTCCAAGGATGAGCTGGTGGCCTCAGCATACCAGGCCACGGAGGTGGATCAGCAGTTTGACGGGGCGCCTGTGCAGGTCCGAGTTACCATGGGGAAGGAGCCCCGCCACTTCATGGCCATCTTCAAAGGGAAGCTGGTTATCTTTGAGGTGAGACCCCTCAGAAAAAGTGACACCAGGAGCAGGAATACTCAAATAAGTCAGCAGGAGGCTGCAGTATAGGAGAGGAGGGATGGAAACCAGGGCTGGGGGTAGACACAGACAAGAAGAGGGTTAATCTCTCTGAGACACTCAAGGGAATCCCAGCTGCCCAGGGCTTCAAGTCCAAACCACTGCCTCGTTAACATCCAAGGTGTTTCATGATCTGACCGGTTTTACCCATGCGGGTGTGTTACTCTCAGCGCCCGTTAACCCACACTCTCCACTCCGGTGAGGTAGGTCTCCCCATTAGACCTCACATGTGCCACATGATGCCCTGTCCAGTCCCGCCCCTGGGCGTGCCCACTTCTTCCATGAAGCCCTGGCTGAAGCACTACCAGCACTATAATGTCATATGCTTGATATCACCCAAGCCTGCGGGCAAGTCCTACCCTTGTCATTTATTAACCAGGTTGCTAAGCCTCAATTTTCCCATCTGTACTGTAATAAATACCTACTTTGGGGGCACCTGGGTGGCTGTCAGTTAAGCGTCCGACTCTTGATTTCAGCTCAGGTCATGATCTCAGGGCTGTGAGATCGAGCCCCGCATCAGGCTCCATACTCAGCAGGGAGTCTGCTTGGGATTCTCTCTCTCCCTCTCCTGCTGCCCCTCCTTCTGCTCACGAGCATGTGTGCTCTCTCTCTCTTTCTCTCTCTCAAATAAATAAATAAATCTTTAAAAATAAATACCTACTGGGGTGCCTGGGTGGCTCAGTTGGTTGGCGGCTGCCTTTGGCTTGGGTCATGATCCCGGGGTCCTGGGATCAAGCCCCACATCGGGCTCCCTGCTCAGCAGGAAGCCTGCTTCTCCCTCTCCCTCTGCTGCTCCCCCTGCTTGTGCTCTCGCTCTCTCTCTCAAATAAATGAAATCTAAACAAAAAAGAAAAAAAAATTTTTAACTAATAAATACCTACTTCACAGTTATTACGAGGATCCATGAAATGATATAGGTAAAGCACCAGCCATAGAGCTTAGCATATAATAAGAGTCTCTGAATGAGAGCTAATATTATTGGTACCGCAGTTCCAGCTCACCTGACCTCTCCCAGTTGGCATGGAAGCTCCCTGAGAGCAAAAGCAGTGGTAAATTCATCCGTAATCTCCACAATGGCTAGCCTAGTGCTCTGTTCACATGGTGCCTCTTAGAACCAGATTCTGCTTTTCTCCTTCTCTCTAGGGTGGGACTTCCAGAAAGGGAAATGCTGAGCCCAATCCCCCAGTAAGGCTCTTCCAGATTCAAGGAAATAACAAATCTAACACCAAAGCGGTGGAGGTTCCAGCCTTGGCCTCCTCCCTGAACTCCAGTGATGCCTTTCTGCTACGGAGCCAGGCAGAGCACTACCTGTGGTATGGCAAGGTGAGAGAGCTGGGCCCAGGGCTCACACCAGCCCCTTGGAGCCCAGCCCTATGCCCACCTTCCTGTCAGCAAGGACAAAGGAACTAAAAAGTAGGCCGAAGCAGTCCTCAAGAAGATGAGCCTTTTCCTAAAGGATTTTCAAAGGAACTGCCAAAGTTCCCCACGATTAGAAACTCACTGACAGCCTTGCTCACACCCAGGAGATGCTCCATAAACTTCTACACAGAGGGAGGCTGGATAAGTCAATCTTTCCACACCAGTTTGGTGGATCGTAGTAGGACAGGCATTAACATTGAACACAAACACTAAAACTGTGATTTTTGTCAATTCGGAGTGCATCTACATTAAAAAGCACTAAAATTGTTTTACAAAAGAGAATTGAACAGGAAAAGATGCTCCACATCACAGGTATCAGGGCAATGCTAGTGAAAACCACAGAGATACCACTGTATGCCTAGCATAAGGGCTAAAAAAAAAAAAAAAAAGACAATATCAAGTGTAGATGAGGATGCAGGAACTCACCTGTATTGCTGGTGGGAATGCACCAGCCTTTGGAAAATGATTTGACAGTTTCTTATAAAATACACACCTATGATCCAGCAATCCCGTGCCTGGGTATTTATTTACCCACAAGAAAGAAAAAACTACCTTCACACAAATATATCTGGCACCTTTATTCATAATCACCCAAAATTGGAAGCAATTCAACTGAGGAATGAAAAGACAGTGGTATATTTATACAGTAGGATACTACTCAGCAGCACAAAGAAAAAAGCTGTTGATCCTCCCAACAATGGTGAATCTCAAATGTCCTATGCTAAGTGAAGGAAGCCAAATTCAAAGGCTATCTAGTGTATGATTCCATTTATAACATTCTGGAAAAGGCAAACTGTAGTGATGGAGAACAGATTGGCGGTTGCCAGAGGTTAAGGATTTGGGGAGGGTCTGATGACAAAGGGGGAGTAGCCTGAGGGAATTTTTTGCAGGGCTGAGGCAATGTTCTGTATCTTCATTTTGATGGTGGTAACATGATTCTCTGTTGGTCAAGACTCATAGAACTGTACACCAAAAAGTGAATTTTCTTGAATGTAATTTAAAGAATAAATTTAAATGTTTTCTCTTAAAAAAAAAAAAAATCAAGAGGAGGTGCTAACATTCCAACCGAAGCTGAAACAAAGGTGTCTCTGACCAACATCCATGGTGGGCTCAGAGTCCAGTCCTGCTCTTTGCCACCACGCTGTTTTCCTTTCCCCACCCCTCCTTTCCCAAGACTAGAACAAACCTAGCTCCCCATCCTGGGGCACTGTTGCCTGGTAGCTGATCCAAGTACAGTCTTAGTGTGACTCCCTCCCCCTGCCCATCGACGTGTCTATGTGCGACTAACACTTGTGTTCTCCTCACCCCACTCTCAGGGGTCTAGTGGGGATGAGCGGGCGATGGCTAAGGAGCTGGCCAGCCTTCTCTGCAAGGGCACCGAGGACACTGTGGCTGAGGGCCAGGAGCCAGCTGAGTTCTGGGACCTGCTGGGAGGAAAAACTGCCTATGCCAACGACAAAAGGTATGGGATCGCGCTGTCCCCTCCTCAGGGCTCCCCCTGCCGCCCAGGCTTGTGAACTGCACAAACTCTAGGATGCCTTTCAGTTCTAAAAACCTATTTCTTGATGAACCACTGAACGCTACCCCTGACACCAATACTGAACTGTATGTCAACTAACTAGAATTTAAATTAAAAAAAAAAACATTATTTCTTAGTAGCTCAGTTCCTCTAAATGGACTGCATTGCAGACTACAGCAGGAAATCCTAGATGTGCAGCCTCGTCTCTTTGAATGTTCCAGTAAGATTGGGCGGTTCGTTGTCATGGAGATCACAGACTTCACCCAGGATGACCTGAACCCAGGTGATGTGATGCTCCTAGATACCTGGGACCAGGTAAGACACAGCCAGAGAACTTGGAACAAGTGACAAAGACACCCCCCCCCCCCCCCCCCCGCCGACTTTAGGCTACTTTTCATGTCGCACCTCCCCTACCAGGATAAACCTGGGGTAGCCCTGGCCCTTCCCCAAGTCCACCAAACATCTGTCAGTGGTAGCCAAAGGAAGAGCCCACTTTTTGCCAGGGATGGAGAGAACAGTGTTGTTTAAAACTGACCACCTTGGGAAGTTTCCCACCTTGCCTTGGGAAAATCAGTCCATCTTATCATCATGCACTTCTTTTTCTTAGGAGAGACAGCAACAGGCTCCACACTCAGAACGATGGGCCTCTTAGGGAATATTGGGCTGTAAAGGGGAGATCTCCAAGGCAAACCCTCCCTGACATCCTATTTTCCTCAGCTCAGCTCAGCAGACGTACTCAGCACTTCCTTCGTGCCCCAGTCACTGTGATAGGGGTAGGGTCACCAAGGTGAAGGGCCTCTGCTCTCAGAGTTTATAGGCTGATGGAGGGGCTGGACAGAGAAACATCATTTTGCTGTAATAGAGGTATGGTGCCATGGGAGCACAAATTAGGGGCACTCAACATAGTTTAGGGGTTCAGAGAAGACTTCCTAGAGGAGATGGCTCCCAGGCTGAATCGCGAAGGATGAGTGGGCATTAATCAGGTAGAGAGAGCATCCTGGGCAAAGGAAATAGCACAAGTTAAAAAGCAAGGCATGTAGTCTAGTATACAAAGAACTCCCGACAATATCATCAGACCTTAAGATAGGGTAGAGGAGTTCGAGATGAAGCTAAGAAGTAGGTATGGGCCTTACCTACCATGTCAAGTTTTAATTTTATCCTGGAAAGCTACGGAAATTTAAGCAGGTGAATGACACAGTCGCTGTGCTTTCGACTGATCACCCTGCAAAGTGTGGGAGAGGAGGGATGGGGGAAACGACAGAAGGTGTGCTGGGAGGCCAGTCAGGAGAGCACTGTTAACAGTTGAGTAAGAGGACTAAGGGCCACCTCGGGCTGCACAGGGGCAATGGGGTCAGATAGAGGAATGGTGACACCTATGACAAATACATAGGAGGGAAACGGGCTGGCCTTGGTGACTCGCTGGGTACAGGGGCATCGAGGATGGCTCCCAGGTTACTGCCCTAGGTGACTGGATGGATGCCATTGACCAAGAATGGAGACACGGACGCAAGTCTAGAAAAGAAGAGCTACATTTGGGGGGTTCTGTTTGAGGTTCCTAGAGACAGCCACGGTCAGAGGGAGGGGGAGTGTCCTGCAAAAAGTTAAGTTCAGGAAGCCGAAGTTCAGCGACAGCTTGGGACTGGACATGTAGATTTAGGAGATACATGTGTAATTAAAATCAGAACACCAAGCTGATTCTGGGGGGAAGCCTTTCTCTCTGCTGAGCAAATGAGGCCAGGAAAGTTCTCGGAGGCTGTGGTTCGCTGAGGGGGAAAGGAAAGGCAGTGGGTCTGGTCTAGTCCTTAGTCCTTGATAGAAGCGCGTTAAGATGCCACCTCTTACCACACAGGTGTTCTTGTGGATTGGGGCTGAGGCCAATGCCACAGAGAAGGAGCGCGCCCTTGCGACGGCCCAGGAGTACCTGCACACTCACCCCAGCGGCCGGGATGCAGACACACCGATCCTGATCATCAAACAGGGCTTTGAGCCTCCCATCTTCACGGGCTGGTTCTTGGCTTGGGACCCTCATGTTTGGAGCGTAAGAACAGAGAGAATGGGGGAGACCTCCCTACTGCCCGGGAGCTCAGCGCAAATAGCTTAGTGGGAAGGCAGGGTACTGACTTAAGGGCTGAGTAAATCCAGGACCACATTTCCCCCACCCCCTCTCCACTCCCCTGCTTTTTCCTTTCCTTCTCTTTTCTGCCCACCACGGCACTCAGTCTGGTTAGAGAATTCACAGCTTGTCTCAGGAAGAAGCCGTGTGTGGAAGTAAGTGATGGTTGATAAAGTTTATCCACACACATCTCCTTTTTTGAGCTTTACAACCACCCTGACAGCTGGGGCAAACGTTTCCATGTTAAAGAGGAGGAAGCTTAGAGGAGGGGATTTGTCAAAAGTCACAGTTAACCGAAGAAGCCAGGTTTTCTGACCCCTAGTCAATGGCTCTGTCTTCTTCGGTCTTGTGTGGAGGGTTAAGGAACACCAGCAAAGAATGCAGATCATGTTGAAGGACCTTCCAACCTGGCGTGGACCCAGAAGGGGGGATTTTCATTCCTGCGTAGCCCTGCAATGTCTTCTGATTCCCCGGCTTTGTTGCTTTCCTCGAGGGTAGACGAGGCCTAAGATGTCCCTCCCCCTGTAAGCAGCACCTTGTCCTGTCTTCCGTCTCTTTGTTCCAGGCAGGGAAATCCTATGAGCAGTTAAAAGAAGAGCTGGGAGATGCCACTGCTATCACGAGAATCACTGCTGTGAGTTGGGTTTGCTCCTGCAGAAGCAAGTCACACGGGCATTCGGAGCCAGAGAGAAACCGTAAACGCTACAGACACCACATGGGCGAAACCCCATCGTGTCCTTCTTAGTATCACTCTAGTGGGCTCTTTTGATTTCAGATTGTTCTAATCAATAGCAAAGCAGGTCTCAAAGCCAAGTTCCTCGTTTTACTGTCTTCCTGAATTTAGAATAGACTTGCTGCTTTAAAAAAAAAAAAACATATTTTTAAATATAAATATAAGGAATTATGACCTAGGAATCACCTACAATTATGGACTGAATGTGTTTGTCTTCCAAAATTCGTATGTTGAACCCCTAGCCCCTAATGTGGTGGTATAAAGAGGTGGGGCCTTTAGGGGGTAATTAGTGCCCTTGAAGGAAGAGCTAGGAGGGCTGGCTCTCTACCAGATGAGGATACACTGGGAAGATGCCATCCACAAGCTGGGAAGCGAGCTCTCCCCAGACCCAGGATTCAGACACCTTGATCTTGGACTAGGTTCCTAGCCTCCAGAACTCTTGAGAAATGAATGTTTGTTGTTTAAGCTAAAAAACAAACAAAAACTACAAAAACTAGGTTTATTATTCAATTCTATCATTCAGGACAGACTAAATTGACTGGCAGTATTTTTCATAAATAATAAGCTTCTAACTGAAATGAGATGCTTACCAGTTTCTGACCATGCAGACCACAAAAAACTCGTTACCCCTACTCTAATGGCGAAAAGAAGTGGAGCCTCTGGCCAGGAATGCAACAGCTCTTTAGCATCAGGATGAGCACATGATAGCAGGTGTCCATGCCATCTGCAGCTCCATCCTTTGTGCTCTACAAACTCAAGATTCCAAAGCTAATGGCTACATAGTATCTTTAAAATGTATTTAACAACAGTATGACTTCAATTTGAAGTCATTTAAAGGCTGGAAATGTAGAGCCTAAATACAAGCGCCAAAAGAAGGTCTGTGATCACAGTATTGAAATGAGATTTAAGCACAGCGTTAAGCCAAACTGCCTATACAGGATTTACCCTAGACTCAACTGAAGCAGCTTTCCCAAGAAGCACCCCAAAATCTGAATATTTTAGTTTCCCAGATGATTCTGACAGGCAGCCAGCTTTAGGGATCATCGTTCGAAAAGGTGATCACAAAGGGTGCAGTAGTACCAGCCAAAATATTAAATACTATACACACAGAACTTCAACTGCACAGACCCTGAACAGTCTTTTATCCTGTCCACATTCTTATCTTACCTAGGACATGAGGAATGCAACCCTCTCCCTGAATTCTGAGCCAAAATATTACCCTATAGAAGTCCTGAAAAATCAAAATCAGGAGCTGCCTGAGGATGTGAACCCTGCCAAAAAGGAGGTGAGTGGCTAAAGGAACTATGTCTACTGTGAGTGGAGCTCTCCATGAGGGAAGCACCTGTCTCAGTACATGGCCTAGGACAGCTCTGGCACATTGTAGGCCCCTCAACAGACATCTGAGCTACCCGGTAGCTCAAGACAAAAACCCAGGGCTCCTTTTTTCCCACCCCCCACATCAGTCCATCAGCTGGCCTCTGTCCACTCCTCCCCGTCTCTCTGCTGTCCAGCCATCACGGACTACTGCCAAGAGTCCCCCAGCTGGCTTCCCGCTGCAAATGAAAAAGAATGCAGAATCCTTTCTGTGGCCTCCGCAGCTCTACACAACCTGGCCTACATCTGCCTCTCTGATGTCCGATCTCATATACTACCGCCCTCTTCACTTACCACCCTCTAGCCAGGGGCTCCCTGTCTCAAACGCGCTCGGCCCGGCCTTTGAGCCTTTATGCCGCCTGAGAAACCTTTCTTCTCTCCGACCATCACAGAGCTAGCTCCTCCTCATGGTTCAGGTGCTGGCTGGCCCTCCCTGACTGCCCTAACACTGCTTAAGAGCAAGGACCTTCTCTGTCTTGTTCACCACCACATTCTCCGCTTTTCGGCACCTACAACAGGGCCTGGCAGATGGTATGCCCTCTTGAAGTTTTGGTTGAATTCACTTATTTTCCCCTTGAAGGAGTTGATTTGGGATGGGTCTCTGGGTTTTCCACAATGTCTTAGCTAACCAACTCTTAAGGATCTGGACCACAACTTGCTTGAAAACAGAAGCCGTATCTTTCAGAGAGCAAATATTCAGTAAGCATCAATTTATGCTCTGAACAAGATCCACGCGATCTTGCATTCGAAATGTCTGGATAAAAAAATGGCAGATGAGGGCCTGAAGTGAGGAACACCAGCACTCGATTTAGTTCTCCATTCAGCCAAAACTCATGTCTAGAATTCATCATATATAACCCAATTCTTGTTCTTCCGGCCAAAAACTGGTGCCAGGTGGGACCATGAGAGCAGCAAATCCAGTCAGCTTCTGCTCAGGCCAAAATGGGATTCTACAAACCAAGAACCCTCCAGTGAATAATTTAAGTCCATTACAGCCTTTCTGAAAAATTCCTTCTCCTCCCCCTTCAAAGACACTCTCTTGGCTTTACCCTCCCCTCCTCTGTTGGCATTGATGGGTGTCATGTCCTCCTCCTAACTACAGACTTTGTTTTCTCTCTTAGAATTACCTCTCTGAACAGGATTTTATTTCTGTGTTTGGCATCACAAGAGGGCAATTTGCTGTTCTGCCTTGCTGGAAGCAGCTCCAAATGAAGAAAGAAAAGGGGCTTTTCTAAGGCAAGAAGCTATATGCCTATTGCAAGACCACAGAAGTGAGCAGATAGTGCCAAGAACAGGAAAGAATTTATCTACCAATTTTTGCCCAATAGCTAGCTACTTAATTTAGATACAGTATGGTCTGCAAATCACAGCATGTTCTCCATCTTTCTCACCCCTGCATTCCACAGTTGTTATTATATACCTAAAATGTTAATTACCTACTTTTCGATTTGTGTGGCCTTCCGGCTAAAGTCTCAGCAGAAAGCACCACAACTGCATGAATCCAGAGAAGTGAGAGGAAAAAAAACCAACGAAGTTTAAAGTGTTTAATAATGGGGCAAGGATGTGGGTGCCTGGGTGGCTCAGTTGGTTAAGCGACTGCCTTCGGCTCAGGTCGTGATCCTGGAGTCCCGGGATCGAGTCCCGCATCGGGCTCCCTGCTCAGCAGGGGGTCTGCTTCTCCCTCTGACCCTCTTCCCTCTCGTGCTCTCTGTCTCTCATTCTCTCTCTCTCAAATAAATAAATAAAATCTTTAAAAAAAAAAAAAAAAAATAATGGGGCAAGGATGTAAGGTTGTTTTAAATTGTAAGCTCGGTATTTGCAAAATCTACTTAACCCACGAAATCACTGAAGTTATTTCCATATATACCCCAAGGGCAAAATCCAAATGCCCAGATCTGTATGTGCCAGAGATTTTTAACTTTTCAAATAAAAATATCTGTGTGAGCAAATGAGAGTTCTTTTCACCATTTGGGGCTTGCCTGTTACGGTAATTATTTTGTGATGCTGGGAGAAAAGTCTCCTTACTGGGGTAGTAAAGTCTATGACAGACACCGCTTGAGGCTGCACATACTGTCCCAACATGATGGAAGGATCCAGCAAGTATGGGTGAGTGATTTCTCTGGATAACTGGACCACTCTAAGTCCTGTTGCTGGCACAAGAATGCCAAAATCTGCCTTACAGCTATCCAAGAAACCTCAGTCTCCACCCATCTCTACCCCATTATCCAAAAGAGAAATAGGGCCATGTGTTATTAATTTCAGTAACGAGGCCAGAACCAGTGTGCAGGCCACAGACAGCAACAAATGAACCACATTTTCCAGACAGCTCGAAGCTGGAGTCAACAACTCCCAAGGAATCCATGTGGCAGAAGTAATGTAAGGGGGGATGGTCCAGGATAGGAGCACCATCCAAGGCATCACAAAGTGAAAGCAGAACAAGGGTGCAGGGTCACAGAAGCACTAAGATCAACGGAGTTCGGCATTTTAGGGTTACCAGGATAGATCTCGGTTGAAGGAAGTAGCAGCCCAACTGCTTACGCCTGTCCTCCCGAATCCTCGGCCCCTTCAAGAAGGCCCGCCTGCTGTTTTCGACAACTTGGCACAAGTCAGGCACAAAAAAGCTAAACCCAGCATTACGCAAACAAGGAAAAGATTCTACTCTTCTTTATTATACAGCAATTGTATTTCATAACTTTACCCACCAAGTCTATCATTTCTTTATAAACGCCAACGAAAAACAACTTCTGGGTTTGAAGAGGCTCAGGAAATAACTTCTTTTCGTAATGATGTCCAGAGCTGAGAAGAAACATTTCCTCCGGGGCCAAGTCTCTGGCACCTATTCAGCTTCTGCTGCCTCTTCGCCCTCCCCACATTCAAACCGCACAAAGTCTACGACAGACACTCCTTGAGGCTGCACGTACTGTCCCAACGTGATGGAGGGGTCCAGCAAGTATGGCTGGGACAGCATCTTGGTTTCCGCCTCCCCACCAGGCTCATCATCCAAAGAGCCAACAGAGAGAGGGGCCATGCCCACCACATGCTGCCCAAGGCGGCGACCCAGGTCCTCCAGGCCTGCTTTGCGCTCAGATGTCTCGCAGATGACCAGGGCCCCGTACTTCCCCAGCACCAGGTTGTGGAGCGATGGGCTGTGCATCGCTCCATGGACGTAAGAGCCAACGTAGAACCCAGCCGGCACCTTTACCCATGCAGCTCGTTTAAGAGTCATGTTTTCTCCCAGTTTCCCTATAAAAAAGCAAAAACAAGTAACATGCTTCCAGAATATGATGCCTGTGGCAGTACCAAGATACACATAGAAGTGGCTGAGTCGAAGACAGTCCTCTGCATTTACACTGTGAATATGCTATAAGATGGAGAGATACCATTTGCCGTTTAAAGAGGAAAACGTATGTGGGAGGAGAGGGTAGGGGTGGGAGAAATAAAGAATACCTTTATGGAACACCAACAATGTGCCACACTGGTATTTAAAAACACAGGCCATGGTGTGTCACAAAGACCCTGGAGTCAGGTCTCAGTCCTGCCCTTTACCGGCTATATGACCTTAGGCAAGTGACATAAGCCCATTTACGAATTTATCAAGCCTTAGTTTCCTCCTCAACATGGAGATGATGCCACTTACAATAACCTGAAAGCAGGGTTCTAAGGAGATGTAAATAAAATAACATGTAAATGCACTTAATTACATTATCTAGCACAAAGCAGCACTCAAATGCTGGCTATCGTTACTGTGTTAAATTTAGGCTTAGAAAGCTCAAGCTACCCTCCCCCAAGCTCACACAGCTAATACATGCCAGAGCTGGAAGTAAAACCCACATCTCCAAAGCAATTAAGTGTTTTCTTCCCCTGAAATTACCATCCCTCCCGAAAATCACCATAACTGACAAAGACAACTCTTCCTCATCCATTGTAGCAGGGAAAAGTCCACAACTAAAAGCCCCAGAAAACCCAAAACCCCAGACCATCGGATAGTTTCAACTTCCTCTCACCAAAAATAAAAATTTTCAGTTTTTTTTTTTTTTGAAGATTTACTTATTGAAGAGTGAGAGGGAGTGGGAGCAAGAGGAGGGGGAGGGGTAGAGGGAGAAGCAGGCTCCCCACTGAGCAGGGAGCCTGACCCAGGGCTCGATCCCAGCACCCCAGGATCATGACCTGAGCCGAAGGCAGACACTTAACCCACTGAGCCACCCAGTTGCCCCCAGAGTTGTTTTTAATAATCAAAAATAATTCCAGGTTTCCCTGTCTCCTCAGGATGCTATCCTCTCTAACATAAGTCCAAATAAGCCAAAAGGTTGGAAAGGGGTTAGGAGACCCCAAAAGGGATCTATCTAGGTAAATATCCCTGCATTAGCCATAGTTATATCTAAAAGTCTTAATGGGGGAGAAATCAAAAGAAATCTTAAAACAACTCAAAGCATCTGAACAATAGTTGATTCTCAGAAATTGACAAGGCTGAAACACCCAGTTCTTCCAGAATTTCTTAATAAGTCCCATTTACAGCTGTCTGCCTGGTTTCTCAGCCATGACTCACTAAAACATCATACATATTTCAAGATAACCTGTTAAAAGCAGAATTGATGCCTTGACTGGAAACGTCAGATGAGCAGTAAATTCCCAGCAAGCTCCAACCCAGCCCTACTCCCCTCCTTCCATCAAAGACATGTAGGAAGAAAGCAAAACCCCCACTAGTTCTGGCACAATGATCCAGATGTGGTTCCTGCGGCCAGTGGTTCTGCAAGAATAAACCTTCACAAATTCAGGATCAGATTTTTCTAAAAAAGAGATCAAATTCCTACACATGATGCCCCCAATTATTCCTGGATCCCTTTATAAATGCGATGAGATGACTCTGGATGTAGTATGTCTCCCACAGTGTATAGAGAGGTAGTCAACCGGAAGAAGTCAAAGGCCATCCCTGCCTAAAGACATGCTTTGTTTGGTCAGCCTGCAGAGTGCAGAAAATGATTTTAATTAGCTGCAAACATCTAAAAACTGAAATTTTTACACACAAAGCTAAATACTTTTGAAGGAATTTAAAAATTCTGACAACGCTGGGACCCCAAGGTAACAACTGGCTAGAGCTTGGTAACAGTTTCCTTCAGCAGAGTGTGGGCTTCTCAGGGAGCCTACAGCTCACTAATGTCTAACACACAACATAACCCACTTCTCACATTCATATTATCTGACCCTTGTGGGCACATGAGCTTCCGATTCCTGATCTAGGTGTGGAAGAATATCAAAGATACCAGGAGGTCCAGTTCATAATTTCCAGTTCCCACAATCCTTACAAATACTCACCAATTGCTAAGGCTAGCTGATCCTTGAGACAGCCCTCTCTCTCGGGCCCAACCGGAAGTTCAGAGAGCTCAGAGGAATTCAAGAAGCCCTAAGTGCACAAAAAAACGAACAAATCAGTTCTGTCCTACTTAAATTACCAAGAGACTAGGCAAAAACAGTTGTTTCTCAAAAAATGATTTAAGACAACCAAGTATAAATGAATGTTTTTGGGTTTTTTAAAAGATTTATTTATTTATTTGAGAGACAGAGCGCAAGAGCGAGTGCGCCTGCACAAGGGAGGGGCAAAGGGAGAGGAAGAGACTTTCAAGCAGACTCCCCGCTGAACGCAGAACCCAATGCGGGGCTCGATCCCAGGACCCTGACACCATGACCTGAGCTGAAACCAAGAGTCAGACACTTAACCCACTGAGCCACCAAGGCTCCCTTAAATGAGTATTTTCATTAAGCCAAAGATATTATAAATTGATAACAGTTCCATTTTTATAAGTATTTTATTCTATCACTGCACCACACCCAATTCCATCTCAATCCCATCCTCTGGCCTTTTTTTTTTTTAATTATTAACATATAATGTATTATTGGTTTCAGGGGTACAGGTCTGTGATTCAGCAGTCTTACAAAATACACACCAATGTCCATCACCCAGCCACCCCATCCCTCTCATCCCCCTCCACTCCTGTATGGCCTAACTTCTTAAACTGTAGTTTCCAAGAAATCAGGAGCGGTATTTTCAAACAATCATAAAATGTTAAGGCTAAAAAACTGGTTGAATAAACCATAGCATAGCCACATAACGGAAAACTATGCTGCTGGGAAAAAGAAAGAACACAAAAGAAAGATCTGTATGAGCTGCTACAGAGTATTTCCAGGTTATATTATTAAGTGGAAAAAAAAAAACAAATTAAAAGAGTACATATATAGGAGCGACTGCACTGGGCTCCACACTCAGAGGGGAGTCTGCTGGGGATTCTCTCTCTCCTTCTCCCTTTGCCCCTTCCCCCGTACACGCACACTCTTTCTCAAATAATAAATCTTTAAAAAAAAAAAAAGAGTACATGTATATTATACTATCATTTGTGTAAGAAAGAAGCATTTATATAAGTATGCTATTTTTGCAAAAAAGACTTAAAGGATACCCAAAACCAATGAAACTGGTTATCTACAGGAGTAGACAAGAATAAGGTAGAAGGGAGAGAAGGAGTGAGATTTCTGTGTGTGTGTGTGTGTATTACAGCTTTAACTTTCAGAATCTTATTAATGTTTTACATATTCAAAAACAAAATTAGATGAACAAGAATTTGGGGGTAAAACCAAAATTACACAGAAACATAAGACACTAACTGTATTTCAAATGAATAATGTAACTTCACAGAAGGTGGGAAAAAACTAATCCAGTAACTTTCAATAGTCCTTTGGCCATATAACTTCAATATAAAGACAAAAGAACGTCAAAGAAATCTTGAACTCCTTAATAGGTTTGTTATTTGCAGTTGCCAGGTATAGTCATTAAAACAATTTAGTGTGTATTAGAACAATGACAAAATAAGTAAACACTGAAGTTGCTAAGAGCCAGTGTACTAACCATGGGAGAAGGAAGATACAAATATAGAACTGGGAGAGGAAAGGAAG